GGTTCTTCTTGCTCTAACCGATAAAACCAAAGTTGTGCTTCTTCTGTTAAATGAAAGGCGGCTAGGCTTACCTTGTCCTGGTCATTTGTCTGTTGATTCCGGAAGAACTGCTCCATGGCCGACGGACTGTTGTTCGCCAGAAGACTCTGATAGATCTGGCCGGTGGTCGTTAGCTGTTGTCCCTCCGTTAGAGTTCCTTTCCCTGCTGGAAAGAAACATCTCCATTAGTCGTCGCAGTTCTCGCACTTCACCTTTGATCTCACGAACTTCGGAGCTGGTCTCCACGAGTTGGTGCTCAAGGTCGTGGACCCTGGAAGGTAGCTGCTCCARATCTCCCATGACGCCTTGCTCTGATACCAAGTTGTTGCGGGCCCGGGAATAGGATCTCGTCACGGGTCGGTCCACGGGGAAAACCTCCTATTTTCCCTTGTTCCTTCCTACTCGTGATGAACCTATCTTGGCACCTTCGRTGATTTGTCCAAGAGATCACTAACTCTCCTAACTCACTCTTGACTGAATAATTTGATATCTCATTCAATAATGGGGTCTCCTTAAATAAGAGATTACAAGAGTCCTAATCAAAGGGAGTCTCCTTGCTGAATAGGGAGACTTCTAGTTCTATCTTGCTAAGGATAAGATAAGCTAATCCTAATATGATAAGCTATTAACAAGATAAGATAAGCTAAGCTAATCCTAATCTGATAAGATACTAACAAGATAAGATAAGAGATAAGAACAAGCAAAATGAGCTAATCTAATATAGATAAGGCTGTTGTTGCCGAACTGGGTAGGATGAGCATCACTGAATCCTTATTGCTGCTGGCGATGGGCCTGGGGCCTGTTGCTGCCGGCGGCGATGGTACGTCTTCCCGAGGAAGGCGTCCATAACACCGTATGCCATCCAGGGTTTTAGGTTTTAAGTCTCCCTTCAGTCTTCTTCATCCGGACAATGATCTTTTTCCTATTCCTCTTCATGCCTTTGGCTACACTTGTTATGTACGTATCCCAAGTGTCCAAAGACATAAATTTGGATCAAAAGCCCATAAGTGTATCTTCCTTGGTTATTCCCCCACACAGAAGGGTTACTGTTGTTTTGATCCGAAGACTGGCACTTGGTATGTCTCAATGGATGCCACCTTTGATGAGCTTTCTTCCTTTTATGGTTCTTCTCTAGAAAGACAATGTCCAAAGGGGGAGGATTTGTCACAGGTGTTTGCTCTTCCTCTTCCTGTCCCAGTTGAGTCTTTTGCTGAGTCTCTTCCTCCTTCAAATGARTCRAGGGAGGATCAGTCACTTCACTCTCATTCCAGTGTTCCTATTCCTCCTCCTTTACCTCTTCGCCCTCTTTTTAATCCCAAGTTGTACCAACAACAGAGAAC